AATATAATCACTTTTGTATATGACACTTTTAATACTTACATTATTAAAATATAAACTCACCTAATGAACTGGAAAAGTTTTTTTTTTTTGTACACAATTTTGTACTTATTGGCTCTTTATTGTTTAATTTATATGTCCACCACATAACCACATTTTTGTCACCTCAAACTAAAGTAACAAACAAAGAAAGTGAGGAGATATGGTTTAGGCTTGGTACCCATACCTAAAGGAATGTGACTGTAGGCCTGCTGGCTTGTACTTTTGCTAGAAGGAGGAATTTCAGAGTCTGTCACAGTTGAGTTAACTTCTGAATTCATGCACAGTTTTGTGTAAAATGATTTTGACTGAAATTTATTTTCATATCAAAATGCTTTATTAAAAATACTGTTAGTAAATACTGCTATTTATGTAGTATCATACTAGTAAATGAGTGGTCTAATAAATTAGTGGTATATATATAAATGTCCTTTACTTTTCAAAAATAATAACTTGCACCCCCTCTAAAGTGGCTTTTAACTTTTCAACCCTTCTCTTACAGCACACTGGAAAAAAAAATGGTAACCTAAAATGGTTACATCTAAATTAACTGGTTTATATTATTTTTTATATATTTGAATCAACTTAAATGCATTATTTTTAAGGTAACAATTGCAGATTACCATCTTTTACAGTGTGTCTTTATTCTTCATTTATATTTTCATGCTCTATTGAAATTCTGATGAAGACAAAAAAAAAAAAATAAAAAGCTTAATTCATCCTTGCTTTGTAGATACACATGGAGACATTCAGTAGATGCTTTTATGAAGCATAAAACCCCTCTACATGAAGAGGTAATCCTAACCCAACTGTTTTGACGTTGGAGAATGACCCCCCCCTCCCCAATTACCCTAGTCTGATCATGCCAGGTCCAAGAGTAATCAACAGTCATACCACGTTTTGTTTGTTCTCATTCACAGAACAAGAAAATATCCAGACAGGCCTTTTCTGTACATTTTTGATAATGGTTGTGGTAATTTCCCTCTGTTATAATGTCTTCTCAGAAACAATGCGGCTCGTTTTAAGGGCCATAGTGTGAGTTGTGGAAATAGGGAACCTCTGCCTGTGGTATGAAATAGCATTGCTATTTATTCCAGATCTAATGGAAGCACATTATCAACATGAGAGCATGTTCTCTGAGGTTTGGGCTGAAATGATTCTTGATTACCTAAGATAAATGTGCTGTGGTATGCTGTCTTGCAATATAACAAACATGACTTAGGGTACGTAGTTCGTAGCACATTAGCACCTGTTCACTTGTTACAAGTGCCAGGCTGAAGAGGGTGGGAAATAAATATCTCTAAATGATACTACAATTGAAGCATTCTTACTGGACTAACAAGCAAGTTGAACTACTGATCATTATTTTTGTGGATTCACTATTATACTATAACATTCATTTATTACTGAATCTTGCAGCCTTTACATGACTCGGAAATGCAATGATTATTGACTTGTTTACTTGGGTGGAATTCAGACAGTAATTTCAGCAACAGCTCAATTCTGAAAGCGTAAATTATTGCTAGAAACATCCTGCCAAAAACAAAACAAAATTAGATTTGCCATAACCAGCAAGGGTTTGGATGTTGCAAGCAAGCCAATAAGTGCAAACGTGCAACCAAGCATCACTTTCTCATATCAGTTAAAAATCTACATAATTCTGTCTCGTAGTGCTTCATTTCACAAGTTGCTAGGTATACATGCGTGCAAATGTCTTTAGTATAATTTGTTTCAGATGTTTGCATTGATTGTACTGCGGCCAGTAAATTAACTGGAAATCATGACAGAAATAATTTCTGCGAACACTATTGTTGAATAATGAAGTCTGTGTCAACAATGATGTGACTGAGTGGCTTACCTCGCAAGAATGTTTTTCTTTTGGAATTAAGAAGAAAAAAACTTTTAATGGGATACAGACAATAACAATTATCTGCAGGCAAATTCACTTTCTTCTGAATATGGTCCCATTAATTGCATTTACGTAGTTTCAAATGAAGTATGTCGAATGCTTTTAGTCAATGATTCCCAAACCAATTTGCATGGTAATGAATATATTTCATTGGGATCTGAAATGGTCCCTGGATGTGTTTCTGCTCTGGCTGGGAAATTACGAGCAGGTCGTTCGCGGGTTTGCAGTGATTACAACCTACTTCATGTATAAGTGGATATGCATGTGTAAAACTTTAATTGTGTTGCTCTACAAGTATAACACCAGAGTTTCAAGGGCTACAACAAACCAGCCAGATCTCACTGTTATACTCGTAGGTATCTGTAAGTAACACTTACAAAAAAGTACAGTACATATTTGGATAGATGCTGAAATATGGATATATAAGGATATATTGACATCTGCAGAAATGTAAACAAATAAATAAAACATTCATTATATCATAAATATATAAATATTTGGAAAGCTCTAACAGTTGAAAATGCATATCAGAGCAAAAAACAAGCCCTGAGGTCA